TTTTATGTCTTTTTATGCCGTGGATGTAAACTTCTGAGTTCAACTGTATGTGGCAACAAAGAGCTGCTTAGATTATTCAGATTACTCTGTTCAAACAACCTTATGACTGATGACGTGAAGATCCTATTGGAGAGAAAACCAAAGCAGCACAGGCTCTGCTCAGTAGAAACCCTCATCAGGTTGGTGCAGTAGGAGAGTGAGGAGGGACGTTATAAAGTTTCCTGACCCAAAGGTGTGTTGCTCCAGCTTTTAAGTGTGAAGCTAATTGTCGAGGCTTTTCTTAGTCTTCGAGACACATTTACTGTAAAGGTCTTTCTCAGAGAGCTTCTGCACTTAAACAGAAGTTGTCTCCTTAAACAAGTCGCTGCTGTCTAATGTGTGAGCATCGCATGACCTTTGGGCAGCTTTAGTCGCCGCGGCGGTGGACGATGTCAGCGCTGTGTTGTACCAGACGGCAGTGCCTCATTAGCTGTGATAAAAGAAGGGACGCCGTAACCCGCCCTTTCATGTGTGACTTTCGTTTTTTACTCAAACATAAATCTTTAAAACAGTCTACACACATGGTAATTCACATCAGGGCCTCGGTTCAAGGCTTCATCAGGCAGTCGTGAATGATTAAACTGTAGAGGAATGGGCGAACGTTAGAGCCTGGCAAAGAAAACAGGGTCGCTTCTTGTTTTTGTACTGAATAATGTCTACATTAGGTCCTCAGTCACCAATCTGGAGCTTCAAATTCCCAGTTTATAGATGTGTTTGGAAGAGAGAAGGAATTTGGATTCTGAGTGACGGAGCCAAGTAGGAAAACATTTAACTTTCCCTTTTTTTAGGATCATGATTGTTGACATGTGTTCTGTGTTTTGTTGTGTCATTAGTTAAATCTTTTATTGTCTGTGTGGAGAAAACGTGTTGAATCTCAAGAAATGTCGAGGGTTTGCCAGAGAGCTTTACAGATAATGTGAGCGTCTGACATCCGACTCTGTTTAGTGTTCGCCAGTGCCGTTAAATTATATCGTTTCTGAAGCAGCTATTAAAAGAGCCACATAAAGAGTGTAGGGGTTGATACAGTATGATCTAATTGCCTTTTTAGTGCTGCATGTAGCAGCCAATCATAAATTGGTTCTAAACACAGCCATAATGACCTATTTTCTCTTAGCAGGAGGGAGGCTCATATAGCGAGCTGGGCCAGCACCAAAACACGGCGCTTAACGACGTTAGTCAGGAGTAAATCACACGTACGCACCGCTGCAGCCTCGTTTAGTGTCAGGTCAGTCGAGTGAGGAGACGGCAGCATCTCATCACTCTGAGGCTGCGGAAAATATGTCAGCTAGGCTGCAGCTTCACACATTAGTCCACTTGATCTGCTAATAACGCTCTCTAGACCAGAGGAATGGACTCTGTCTGGTGGTGAGGAACCATGATGGCTCCTGTCTTGGCTACTTAATCCTGAGGCCACGCTGAGCTTGGCTGGCTGCCTGTTGTGCTCCCCACAGGTTCAGAGCAAACGGCCTCAACGTCACAATCGTAGCAGGACACGAGCTTCAGTCAACACTCACGTCCACCCTTCCATGCATTTGTTCTGGTTTAAACTGGGCAGAGATGACCTGGTTCTGGTCCAGGTGGTAAATGAGACGGCTAAAGGTGCGTTCAGGCAGTGAGCGGTTCTGTATTTTGAATTAATCGCCACAACTCCAAGCTGCCTCCCAACCAACCGGCCTGCACACAACACCACCCAGATAAAGGCAGCATCCACAACACGTTTCCATCATTTCTTATTCAGGCACTCACTTCCTAAAGGTCCTATCATATAAGATGTGGTCTAAATTCAGCTTAAACGCTCACCAGCAGCCATCTGACCAGCTGATGACACCAGCTTGGATCAGGATGCTGAAGGTTTTGTTGATGGATCACCTACAGTGACGATAAGAGGGGTTTTGTGGAGGGGTTTTGCATCAGCGCTGTGCAGAGGTAGATCCCAGTTCTCGAGAATAATCATCGAAACATGCAGTCTATTCCTAAAATATCAGCACGTCTGCGGAGCGGTAATGGGTTCAAACCCCACACGGACCGCAAAGCCTATTTTGGGACTGTGTGCGCTTCAGTTTTAGATTTCAGTCATTTTACTGTCACACTGACTCCATCAGCTCTGAAAGGCAACACCGGGAGGTTTGGGTTTGAATCCCACTGGGAGAGCGGACCGGAGTGTGTGTTTTAGCTGTCAGTCTGCAGTGTGTGTGTGTGTGTGTGTGTTTGTGTAACGGACTATATAGTCTGTGGTCGCACAAAGACTCTCATTAGCATTGGTGCTGGTGTAAAACGAGGAGAGCAGCCTGCCAGTCACTGCTAACAGACACATGCACACCAAGACACAGTTTGCAATCAGGACTTTGGATTTGTGAGCTTTAGGCGCGCGCACACACACACACACACACACACACACACACACACACACAGTGCCATGGTTTTCATTTGCTATGGATATAGATGTTTGAGGCCAAATTATGATGGAACACTGCTGCTCAATCGTTTAGTGGTCTCTCACACACACACATTCCTCTCCTCTCTCTGCGCTGTTATTTTTATCCTTTTCCTTGTTCCTTTGCTGTTTCCAACGGCTGCTGGCTTCTTGAACATGTTTAATGCATTTACCTCCTATTTTTCCACCGTGTCCCAGTTTGCGGCCCAGTGTTGTGTCGAACAGCGCAGAGATGTGCACACCGACAGCCAACAGACGCCCCGTAAGCTCCTGCTCTCCTGTGATTTGTGTTTCTTGCAGGGAAAGATTAAACAAAAGCTTCAGAGCCGGAGTGAATTCGGTGAAGCTGAACCTTCGCTCGTCGGTGAGTCAGAGTTTTGGCTTTTGCTGCCATCTGGTGGCACATTGCTGTTTAACACACAGACAAAACAGCTCTCTGGTTTCTCTTGTGTCTCAGTTATTGTTCAGCCCTTCATCAGCTGGTAGAACTCATCCTGAGACATATTTATGAATGAAAAAGGCCCTGGACAGACCTGCAGTATCTGCTGTGGGCTCATACGTGGCAGCAGTCTGAGAAAAACAGCAACTTCTGATTCTAGATATTCAACAACTGTCTTTTTGTTTGATCGTTTTATTCCTGTTGGACTTTATGGTGGAACTGTTTCAGGTCTCAGATCTACGTAATGCCTTTTTGTTCAACATTTAGATAAATAGATGTATTTTCACTAATAAATAAATAAATATGGCAATAAAATAAATCGTTAAATAAATAAACAAGGCAATAAATATATGAATAAATGTACTTTAAAAAAAAAAAAAAATAGACATTTTTAATTTCCGGGAACATTTATTTCATAATGCCACTTTCATGTATTTGAGACTTATTCTGTAGGCCTCTTATATCAAAGGATGTGTATTTATTTTAGGGCAATAAATACCCATTTATGTATTTGTATGTGTATGAATAAAACAACATTTCACACAAATGTTTTGTAGAGCTGAGAGAGCTGAGAGGAGCTCTACAAACCAAGCTGCAGCTCTTCCCCTCTTCGTCTGCAGCCTCGTCCCCCCGACCGGTGAAGGAAGTGAAGAGCAGCTACAGGTCAGAGGGTTTTATTATCCATGAGTAATAAATAAACAGCAGCCTCACTCTTATTTGTGTCTTCTTATTCCATCTCTCTAAATGTACACATGTCTGTGGGTGAATGAATGTGTTCAGTGCATTTTTCTTCATTTTGTCGTCCTGATAGAAGAAACCTTCTGATTCTTCTCCCCCAGACTGTCAGCAGGACAAGGCGCTGAAGCTCCGCCAGCTTCAGTCTGGAGACAACATCATCTTCCTCCTCTGTGCCCTCCTCGGCCCCGACCGCCAGCTGGACCTGCTCTCACCAAGACCTCCACATCCAGGACTCATTCCCAGCACAGAATCACATCAGCCTCCGATAAGTCAAGTAAAGCACCTGCCTGCGTCAGGACTGATCCTTCTGAGTGCACAGACAGCCTCCTCCACGCTGACATCGACCACAGTTCCTCTCCAGAGCGAGGCAGTGCTGGTCTCCACCACAGGACCCACACTTCTAGTTTTCAAACACCCTCCAGTAAAACCCCTCCTTCATCACATCGCAGCCTCCACAGCCCGAGCACTGAGAGCAGTGAGTCACCACAGAGGGAGAGAAAAAGCAGCTCTGCTCGGAGGTCAGGAAGTATCAGTGTCACCCCCTCACCTGCTCCTGGCCTTAGCCGAGTCAGCGATGCAGGAAGTCTGAGCAGCAGGAGCGACCACTCGGCGTCAACAGGCAGCTGCAGGAGGCGAAGTGGACCGCAGAGTGGTCGCTGTGGAGGCGGCTCAGGACCAGCGTCAGCACAGGTAGACAATGACAGAGGAGTAAAAACATCTGGGGGCTCTGAAGCTGGGAGTCCTGCACGACACAGCAGAAGGAAAAGCAGCAGTGGGATGGATAACGATAAAAACGGCCTCCTTAGGAAGCAGAGCCCAAGTAGCCTCCGTTTGACGGATAGCTCCTCACGTGGTCCAGAGGGCAGGGACAGAACGGGACGAGCTGCATGCACTCAGTTTACCTCCCCTAAGAAACCACACGAGGGCACCACGAGTCAGCCCAAAAGGGTCCAAGACGCTCAGATGGAGGTTCAGTTCCTCAGCAGGTTTCATCAGCCAACCCCTCCTGCAGGAGTCAGCCACGGACAAGACATGGGGGTTTACAGCACTGGGAGAACACAGAAGGTCTGTGACAGGGAAGTGTTTTAGGAGAAAGAACTGTTGGATGTTTCTGGAAGTCACTAATATGTGAAGGAACATGATAGGCTGACAGCCGCATGAACGGTTTCATACAGTGTGAAATAAAATGAGCTGCAGATGAAGAGAGCGACTGGAGTGCTTGTAATTCTGCAGCGTCTTTTCCTTTTTATTTATTTTTTTATTTATTTTTGCTTGAATTCAGACAGCAGATGTTCTGTAGTTTAACAGATTTAACTACACAACGGTTTAAACATTTGAGGATTATTCATTTGAATTTGCTTTCAGTACAAAAAAACGCACTGTGAATGTGTTTGTGAGGGCGTTTCTTAGTGTTCTGTGTGTGGTTTTGTTTGACCAGTCAGGTAAATAACAGAACATGATCAGCACATTAACCCACGGTGACAAAAATTAGCTCTTGCCGTGTACAGAACGGTTAAAACAGCTCAAATTAATCTTATACGCCAGTAAAATGCTGCTTACACGTCATTGCACGGCCAACAATAACATCGTGTCCACTATCATTTATAATAGCGTCACTCTAGTGAAGGCTGGTTTGTAGTCGTACGTACTTTCATGTTTACCTCTTCCTGACTATACTTGAGTCATGTTTTTGATTCAGGGCTTTGCATGTGAAGGCGCTAACAGCTAACAGCTAACAGCTAATCGATGCAGTCTCAGTATTTACTTGTGCAGCTGCTTTAATCAAACATTCATAACAAGCAAATGCACCAAATGTGTCTACATGACCAAAACAATGCTCCAGTTACCAAACCTGACATTAAGACACAGACGACACTGTAGTGGTGGAGGCTGTTTCATACGTCCAGTGTCCTGTAGTGATATAAAGAAAATGAACTTTATTGTAGCCTCATGATAGCATCGAGTCACTCTGATGCATTAATAACATGTTGGTCATTGTGTGGTGGCTGCAGTTGGGTTTTTGTTTTGTTTATGAGTTAGAAGCTATTTCACACCTTAAAAAGGATCCGATTGGATAGAATCTGATGCACGGAGCAGGTTTACAACAACAAAGTCAGGTTGTGGTCAGCAGAGATGAGAGGCTGAATGTTGGCAGCATCTCTGAAGTAAAGTTGAGCAGAGGTCCAGATTTAGGTAAAGTGCAGCCCGATCACAATGACAGCGGCTTTGTGGCTTCATCCTTTTAGCTATAAATGTGGTTGTCATTACTGAACAGGACGCCCAGTGAAACTATTCATCACTAAACATCTGAAGGTGATTGGCTCAGTTTCATTGTCCGTAGTTTAGTGTTCACAGAGACGCGCCTGTAACTCCAGGAAGTGTTGATCCCATACAGATCTGTGATTATTGTACTGAAGGATCAATCTGTGTTGTCTGATTTGTCTCCTGCTTCCTGTGCGGGTGAAGCTCAGTGCTCTGTGATCTGTGTGACGGACAGACTCACGTACACGAGGCTGCAGTTCAAATCAAATCACACCTTATTTATACAGCACTTCTTATACCAAACAGCAACACAAAGAGCATTTAAAAACATTGCAAACTAAACTGAACCTATCCCAGCTGACCTGGGACTAAAGGCGGGCTACACCTGGACAGATGACCAGTCCAGCTCGGGGCTAACACTCAGACACAACCATGCATGTTCACACTGTTTAGAACCAACATGCAATGATCAGAGAACAACGTGACCACAGGCTCTCCTCTGACCAGTGACCATAAAAGACCACCTTGAAGTGCGATTTAACTGAAACGACACAAAGCCACAGATGAGGAGGGAGAGACAAGAACAGGCCTGCTGGGCGCTGGTTCCTCAGTGAGGGCTTTAGCTCAGCACAACATAACCCACAAACCACCATGTGTCGTCTAAGGAGGACTGCATGGGACGACCAGGAGTCTGCTCATGTTGCTCTGGATGGAGTCTGACAACATGACCCTGTCCTCCAGAACACTCACAAACTTCAGACAGATTGGGACGCGTTCCACAGACTGCATCAGCAACCTGTATGTGCTGAATGTCTGTTTTAAAGAACAGAGGTTTACTGTTTTTATCTTTACTGTGGTTATAATTATACATAAAAAGTGGGAAAGTTAGTATAAATACTTTAAATGATGGGATGATAATAAAATGCCTTGTGTGACTGAACAGCCAATCATCGCCGCGTATCGTGCTACGTCACGCGTAGAGGACCGGGAGCGATTCACGATCACTGTCAAATTAAAAGTCCGTACATTTAAAAACCACGTGACATCTGCTCTTTGTCTCCCTGCGGCTCATTTCATAACAACAGTGATTACTTCCTCTATAGATAAACAGTCTGGTTTCAGGTCTACACGCCTCCTTCCCGACTGAACGTGAAGGCACCTGCGCCGCTCTGCCTTTATTTCGAAGGTTGCCGCCGGAAGTGCTTGTGCCGTAAAAAGCTTCCGCTTGACGCGCCGCCTTTGTGTTGACGCCGCACATTTGAGTGGACCGAAGACGGAGCAGGTGAGTGTTGTTCTGCCCTACAGGGTAAAGTTCTAGCTACTGTTCGGTCCGTGTTCGGTCCCGGTGAACCTACCGAACCACAGCAGGTGTGTTTACTGGTTCTCTACCTGTGGACGGTGGTCGTCAGCTGGCTGCTCCAATCACTGTGACTTTACGGTTCTCAGCTGTTTGAAGTGAAGAAACCTCTGATTGAACACAGGCTTGGAAACAACAACAACCACCACACACCGCAGTAACGTTAAAAATATGTATTTAAAGCTGGGTTTTTTTTTTTACTTCCTGCTTGTGTCTCTGAGGAGCTGCAGCCTGTGCACGTGCAGCCTGCCTTACCTGCTCAACCTGCTGAACACCTTCAGCTGCTGCTCAGTCAGGTCTCAGGTGTTCTGACAGGTGCAGACACTGAAACTCACAGAGACAAGTGAATCCCGGTGGAGCTGCAGGTCAGCAGCGTGATGGTGCAGCTGCCGGTACTGGTCACCCTGATTACTGCTGCTGTCGTCACATTTACTCACTGGGAGCTGTTTGTTTGTTTGTTTGTTTGTTTGTTTGTTTTTCTGCAGCTCCAAAAAAAGCAGCACAACACTGGCGACAAGTACAGAAAGCTCTTTTTAATTTATTTTAATTACATTTTTTGCAGAATAGCAGAGTAGGAATGGCATAAATCATAAAGAGAAGTTGATTTAGTTTATTTATTTGAATATTTTATAGGACACAAAAATAACAACAACAACAAAAAGTGCTGGAAAGAAATCACTGAATTATGACATTTCCATACACTGTAGTGGATTCTCTATTAGAGAAAAAAAGTTTTACTTCTTCCAAAGATTGTTTTGTTTTCTTTCTCAATTCTTATTTGTTGTTTTTTTTTTTTAAGGATTATGAAGCCGAATAATAAAGTGAACGGGAGAGACGAAACCTTTCCACCTGTTTTTCATTTTCTTCTTTATGAAGCCCAACATAAATGAGATTTCTGCGTCCAATTTGCATTTTGTTTTTGTTCATTTCATTAAACTTACACTTCAATATATTTTGGGGCTTTTTTGCCTTTATTCAGAGCAGCAGAGATAAACAGGAACAGAGGGAGAAGAACAGGGAGAGGCCTGCAGCAAAGGGTCGTGACCTGTTCATGGGTCGTGACCTGTTCATGGGTCGTGACCTGTTCATGGGTCGTGACCTGTTCATGGGTCACACACTCAGCTCGGTGAGCTGTAGGGTGTCCAAGAGGTTCTTTTAATTTCTTTTTCTCTCTTTTTGATTAAACTCCAGGTCTGTGGCACACATGAGCCGCTGTCTGGCTTCATGAGCTCTGCTTGTTGGGATCAGCTGATTGTTGGTCTTGGACTCAGACCCTTCCATAACATCCTGCTGTGTTTGTCCGTCCTTCCCCACAGAGATGTGGTGGCTGCTGTGGGTGCTCGCCGCCCTGCTGGCGCTCTTCTGCTGCCTGGACGTGTGGTACTTCCTGCGGGCCGCCGTGGTGATCCTGCGGGCCTGGTTTCAGCCTCCGATCTGGGACATCACGGCAGAGCAGACCATGACGGGCCGGGTCACCCCCCGTGACATCGACATGTGCCACATGAACAATGCTCGCTACCTCCGGGAGTGTGACTTTGCCCGCTTCTCTCTCTACACCCGTAACGGCGTGTTCAAGGCCCTGCGAGCCCTCGGGGCGTCGGCGGTCGTCGGCGCCACCACCATCCGGTACCGCAGGGCTCTGTGCATCGGGGAGGGCTACGAGCTGCGGAGTCGCATCGTCACTTGGGACGACAAAGCTTTTTTCCTGGAGCAGAGATTCGTGTCGACAAAAGACGGGCTGGTGTGCGCCGTCATGTACTGCAAGCAGAGCGTCGTGCGCAGCAGTCCGGACAGGATCATGCAGCACCTGTGCAAAAGGAAGGTGAGGAAGGAGGACGTTCTGACACAAATGTAGGCTGTTCATTGGTTAAATAAATGCTGTGACAACTGACACTGAGCTTGTGGTTGCAGGTGGAGTGCCCTGAGTTTCCAGAGGACCTCCAGCACTGGGTCAACTTCATCTCCGCCAGCAGCCAGGCCCTCAGAGCCGAGAGCGGCCTGGACGAGAAGAACAAATGAGACACCGCTTGGGCAGCTATCAGGACTGGCTCTTTGTAAGCAGACAGTTCACCAGCTCTGGATGCAACGTCTTCAGAGAGACATTGAACTTCTCATCACACTTGTGCCTCTACTTTACCTTGACCTCAGTATCTACAGACGTAAAACACTGGAACAGCCGTTCACTGCACTGATTTGAGAGCTGAGTCATCATTCAGGAATGGAAAAGAAATGTGATTGTACCATTTTTGATCTATGGCTGCAATAAAAACTAATTCAGGAGTTTAGTTTGGACTTCTTACTGTAACCCTCTGTGGAGTTCTGAAAACAATATAAACAGCAAAATCAATGCAAGTGGTTAGAAATGAGAAAAACAAGATGCATTAACCAAGAATCAGGTTTTTAACAGATTAAGAGTCCATACAAGCATGTCTGGGAGGAAGTACTTTAGTAAAAGCACTAGAAATACTCAGTTACAAGTAAAAGTCAAGACTTCACACCGTTGTCCAAGTAACACTGAAGTATTAACAGCAAAGTGTGTTGTACATTATCATGTTATTTATTATCAAAAACAGCTGTTTGGTGAATGTAGCAAAGGCAAACATACAATACTTCCTGTTGAAAGAGTGGATGAAGCAGAAATATGAATGGAAAATAACTTGGTGATGTAAAAACACGTCACACTTTTAATGGACGTTGTAGTTTCTAAAGTGAACAAAAAACACTCATGATGCTAACAGCAGAGCACCGGGGTATAGGCTAAGATTTATAATAATTAAATGTATTATAATTTATTTTAATCATAGTTTGTTTGCTGCCAGATTTGCCACAAATAAGACACCTGTTGATAGCAGCAGGTGATTAGACTGAAGTTAACTGCTGCAGTTTAATGTTCTTTTTGTGGAGCAACAAGATCAAACTGAAGCTAAATGCTGCAGTTTGAAGATCTAGTGAATGTTAAAACTAACTGAAGCTACGTCCTGCAGGTCAATGTTCTGATGCTGTTTCTAAAGCAACGGGTCACTGTTGTATTAATAGATATGTATGCCTTTATCATACATATCTGTGGTTGTATTACTGAGTACTAACTGCAGGTTATGGTTGCAGACTGTCTACATTATGGTTCACATAAAATACCTCCACCACGCTAATTTTAAAAAGCTGTTGGTTTCAACACAGTAAAAAAAAGCCAACACATCTGATTGTCAATGACACATAAAAGAATAGAATCTTCTTTATTAGTCCCACAAGGGGAACTTTGCAACGTTACAGCAGCAAAGTGATGTAAGAAAAGTAAAACAACAGCTATAAATGAAAGAGGCGAGGTAGATACACGTAGAAATAAGAAATATCCAGATATGCAAACACTTCTTTATTTAAATTGCTTTAGGTTATTGGATCCTGAAGAAACACTCTCTCATCTTGCCTGTACTACTGTGTCTGTACAGCAACATGACAATAAACTGGATTTTATGTGAAAAACAGAAGAACACAAGAAGACAGGTTTGTGTTTCTATGATAACAATCAAAACAGTTACAGAGCTTATTGTTCCTTAAATCAGGAAAGATTTCAGGGCTACTAAAAAAAATACAATCCATCCATGTAGTTTTGAGAAACCAGTGTTTGTGAATTTAACATTTTACACGTAATATAAAGATGGAAAACTTCAGTTCTGCTGAGTGACGATACACCGGCTCAAAAAGAAAACTGAAATCAGGTAATTTAAGTTAATGAGGTTAATGGGATGTGATTACATATAATAGAATAGAATTAAAAACATTTTATTCTATTACTTGTAATTACGTCAGACCGTGAATATGAAAACAGACTAACGTAACCATGCCGACAGGCCAACCAATGAGGCTCCGTGTCGTCACACACCCGGAAGTCATGTTCATTCATTCTACCGGTTTCCTCAAGTTGCATCGCATCTCATGGTAGCGCTTTCTGCGGGACGCACAGTGAGTAGTTCAGCCGCAAACAGGCGCCTCCGTCGGCTTCAGGGTCGCTGCTTTAATCCCGACACCGAAAAACCAAAGAGCGGCGGCTGTGTGCGTGAGAGCGCGCTCGTTCTCCTGCCGAGGACACCAGCTGCTGGCGGCTAGCCGCTAAGCTAACAGATTTGGCTGTCACAGCAGGTTCATTTGAGCAGAGCAGCTTCCCAGTCCGCTCAAGGTTGAAGCGGCTGGAGGTGGCAGTGCGCTGCTTCCGCGTTTCTACCCAGAATGTCGCGTCCGCCTGTCAGAGAGCCGTGACCCCTCGTTTTCCTGCACATCTGCATTGTCATTGATGAGGTCAAAGATGTGTTTAGTTTGTTATGGAGGCTGCTCATGAGTGTAGAAGACACTGCTGTTAGCTTTAGCCCATTTTATGTGTGATTTCCCTTTTCAGAACAGCAGTCAGCCTTTTTTTTTTTTAAATTGTAAATTACTACCTTCACTTAGAAGCAGCATTTCAGTGACTTGGTGTTTGATGATGGATGTTTTTGTCTTTAAATGTTGGTTCCTGACAGCCATGTGTGTTGTGTTGCTCCTCCAGAGAGATGTTGCTGCTGGTGCTGGGTGCCCTCCTCCTGCTCTTCTGCAGCCTGGACGTGTGGTACTTCCTACGGGGGGCCCAGGTGTTTGTCCAGTCCTGGTTCCAGCCCAGAATATGGGACATTCTAGCTGAGCAGAGCATCGACGGCATGGTCCTTCCACACGATTTGGACTACTTGGGCCACATGAATAACTCTCGCTACCTGAGGGAGTGTGACTTTGCTCGCTTTCACCATTACATGAGAAACGGCTTGTTCATGGCCTCGCGCAAACTGGGGGCCAGGATGGTGGTAGGGGCCTCCACCATCCGGTACCGGCGCTCCCTGGCCTTCCGCGAGGCTTTTGAGATTCGGACCAAAGTAGTAAGCTGGGACGAGAAGGCCTTTTACCTGGAGCAGCGCTTTGTGTCCAAGAAAGATGGCTTTGTGTCTGCAGTCATGCTCTGTAGGCAGAACGTGGTGCACTGCAGCCCGGAGAGGATTATTGAGTTTGTCTGCAAAAGGAAGGTGAGTGAAGTGTTGGTAGCTAATAGTTACTATCTGTACTGATCCATCTGCTGATAGTTGTCTTGTTTCGTCGTTCTGTTTAGTCTCGTAAATGTCAGAAAAACACCCAGTGATGCCCGTAACAAGCTGATGATGTGAAACAGTTTGTTTTCCCACATTACCGACACAAACATGAGGATTAAGGCAAAGAAAATGCAGATCTGAGAAGCTGAGAGGCTGTAAAACAAAAAAATAAGTCTTATAGAAGGAGAAAAGTGATGCTGCTGGCATCCCTCAAACCGCTCATAGAAGCAAATAGAATAGAAATACTTCATTCATCCCTGAGCAGAAAGAGTAAAGTTACCGCCACCATGAATACAGATAAATAAGTCAAAATAAACAATAAGAAAACATATAAATGCACAATACATGTAATACACACTCTAAGGAAAACCGTCCTCTGATAAACTCTGAGGATGTCGTAGCCTGTAGATAAAACATGTACAAATGTGAAAGTCTATAAATTAAGAGCAGTTAATAACGATTTAAAGAAGGATTACAACCAACGACTGGCAGAAGATTTCCAGGTCCAGTCGCTGAAGGGAGGGTTGAAAAGTGAAACGTCACACAAACGCCAGCTTGGGTCGTCTTCAGGGTTTCCCAAAGACGAAGCAGACGTTCGCTGGTTAGGGTTCGGTGGGTAGCACCGTGGCCTCACAGCTAGAAGGTCGCCGGTTGGCGTCCCGGTGAGGACACCCGGGATCTTCCTGCGTGGAGTCTCCATGTTCTCCCCGTGCAGCGTGGGTTCTCTCCGGGTTCTCCGGCTTCCTCCCACAGTCCAGAAACATGCTGAGGTTAATTGGTGATTGTAAATTGTCCGTAGGTGTGAATGTGAGTGTGCTTGGTTGTCTGTCTCTAAGTGTAGCCCTGTGATAGACTGGTTACCTGTCCAGGTGAACCTGCCTTCACCCTGAGTCAGCTGGGATAGACTCCGCCCCCCTAGTGAGGATTAAGGTGTAGAGATGATGGATGGATGTTCATTGGTTTGCTTTGTAACGCCCACTGCAGTAAAAACCTTTCATATTTTAAACCTACCTTGAGTTCCTGGACGAGGATGTTTGTGTCATTTTCTTGGTTTTAATTCTTCAAACCTCCTCGATGACTTTTTGCGATTAATCAATTAATCATGTTGTCTCTGAAACAGCAGGTTCATGAAGTCCAACAGGATGTCCGTCAGAACCCCCAAATATTCTATAAATGATCACAGGAGAGTCTGAGCAGCTTGAACCTGACACTGTGTTGAGTTTTTCTTAAGCTGTTGCCGTAAAGTCTCACGCGACTCATTGTTTAACACTCTGGTTTTACTCTCTGCTGTGTTCGGGTGCAGATCGAGTGCCCCGAGTTTCCTGAGGACCTCAAACACTGGATCAGCTTCATTTCAGCCAGCAGCCAGGCCCTGAGAGCAGAGAGCGGACTGGAGGAGAAGAACAAGTGAAGCCGCACCGTGACGCCACGTATCATGAGTGTAGACGCATATCATGGCATTGCACGTACATATACAGCACACACACACACACACACACACACACGACTACAGTACGACATAGTAGAGAGTTTTAGTTGACTTTGAAGATTCCACTTACCTCCGTTTTGGGTGAACCCCACCTGTCGTGTACTTCAGTATGATGTTAAACTTAGAACAGCTGAATATGAAAACTTGAACTGTTACGTGTCCTATGATTTAAAATGCACCGTATGCATTGGGATCATGATGAAGGTTTTTCTTTTAAAAAGAAAGTGAAACAGGAACAAAGCTTTATTCTCGCTGCTTATTTAGTAGTTGACTGTGAGTAGACGGCATCTTCGTTCTCATTTAGCAATATCTCCTACCTTCAGATACGCATGTAGAGCAAAAGTTAATCTTCCACTGACATCGATGCATGTTTTGAAACAACCATGATATTTTTGTGCCTGTTTCTTGTAGTTTACAGTGACAGAGAGTTCTAACTTTTCACAAAAAAGATGTATACTTGAACCAACAATTGTTTAAATCTTTTGATTGCACAAGTTAACAAACTGCATTCCTGTCACCAATCTGAGAGGGAATATGTCATTTTAAGGGGGTCCACTGAGCAGTGCTTTAAATCTAAAACACATGCGTTTGAGTTGCGGGCTCCTCTTGATTGTAATTGCATGTGACTTTCAGAGAAAGTGCTTGAATTTGATCGATGAGCTAACGCGAGGTTGCTGGCGATTTTTCAAACCCGCAACGCACAATAAAATCTGAATGTTTTGTTCTTATCGAGCCAGCCATTTGAAATCAGAGCTTCTGTTTGTGACCAAAGTAATGTATTATTTCTGTACGGGAGGAATGGCGTTTCTACAAATGTACGTCTGATCTGTTTATGTTGTCGATGCACTGACCACAGAATCCTGTTCACTCCACTGGTGTATGAAGATATAAATAGTCTGTTTGTTTTCCACTTATCGTTTGCATTTCATTCTAATGCATTCATGTACCAGATTTAATTTATTGTGTTTGTTAATTATTTAAATGCATTTTAAATTAAAAATGCACTGGGAACTGTGCTCGGGTGTTCTGGTTCTTCTCAGGTGTGTGGATGTTCTGCGGTCGTCTGTTCTCCTCAAACAGCCGTTGGGTGACAGTAAACAGTTCAACAGTTTCTGGGTTGAAGATTTTTTACAATTTGGAGCTGGTCAAACTGGATTTCTGTGTCTTTAGATGAAGTTAAGATGAAAAACATGGAGTGCTGAGTGAGTTTCTTGGTGGAAAGTAGCCAACTACAGGTATGTAGGCTGATTTTGAGGTTTTATGTAGATAATTCCACCATCGTGCAGAAGGAAGTAGTTTTTATGGCACAACATACATGTTTATTATTATCTTTACATATTACATTTCTACATTAAAGACATTAGTTGAGAACTTAACTCGAAAACGTTCATCATGTCTTCTTAGTGATAATATAATGTTCAGGTTCTCTACATGTCTGAATAGAGAACCTGAACATTATATGAGTTGAGAACTTGTTATACTCACTGTTCCAAACTAAACAAAAGTTTATAATTAATCAATTGTAAGTAAGATCACAAAATGTGTGACCTTTCTTTTAATTGCTATCACAAAATCGCATTTAATGATCATGTCTGTTAAGGAATATTAATTACTTGATTAGTTGAATAATTTTGAGAAGCTAAAACCAAAAATAAAGGTCTGTAATTCTACATTAAAAAAAACTATTACAATTAAAATTAATATATGCATTTTTTTAGTCAGAAGTTTCGATAAACACTCCAGTTTAAAAAAAAATGAATTGCACGCAAAATCAGAAAAATGTGACTCTGTTTTTAATTAGTTTTACAAAATCGCATTTAATGATCACGAGTGATTAATTTATTTATTTTGAGATGCTAGAACCAATAAAGGTTTGTAATTCTACAACTAAAATAAACAAGATAACTATTAAAATCCATACATGCACATTTTATGGTATTTTAATTCATTTTAAATGTGTCAGAGTTTGAATAAACACTCCAGTTTAAAAAACAAACCGTTTCCGGTTGTTATGTGTTATTCTCGTTCAGGGTTTAAATGTCCTCTCTTCCGGTGACGTCACACACGCCCCGCCCCCCGCCCTTTCTTCCTGTAAACAAAGCAGCAGCTGAGCTCGGTTCTGACACTTTCGTGACTTTTCGCCACATTTTCGAGCTCGTCGCTGCTTTTGGACGATGGCTCAGGCCGGAGTGGTCCTGGACCGGGACCAGTTCAACTGCTCCATCTGCCTGGACGTGCTGCGGGACCCGGTGACCATCCCGTGCGGACACAGCTACTGCTCGGTCTGCATCCAGAACTACTGGGACCAGGACGACTTCCTCGGCGTGTTCGTGTGTCCGCAGTGCCGCCAGAGCTTCAGCCCGAGGCCGCTGCTGGCCCGGAACACCATGCTGGCCGACGTGGTGGAGCGCTTCAAGAAGACGGGGCTCCAGGACGCGGCGGCGGCGGCCGGCCCGAGCTTCGCCGAGGCCGACGACGTGGAGTGCGACGTGTGCACCGGCCGGAAGAGCCGCGCGGTCCGGTCGTGCCTGGTGTGTCTGGCCTCCTACTGCGACCTCCACGTCCGGCCGCACTACGAGTCCGCCGCCTTCAAGAAGCACAAGCTGGTGGCGGCGTCCAAGCGGCTGCAGGACAACATCTGCCCGCGGCACGACAAGCTGCTGGAGGTCTACTGCCGCACCGACGCCCGCTGCATCTGCTACCTGTGTCTGGCGGACGAGCACAAGGGCCACGACACGGTGCTGGCCGAGGAGGAGATCCAGCAGAAGCAGGTGAAGCTCGGAGCGGTTCCGTCCTGCGGCTCAGAGGCACTGGTGGTGTCGTGGTGCTGCAGGACGAACCTCAGAGTCAGAAACAGAACCTGGTGACTTCACCAGAACTTAGTAAAGACTGAGAAGTCTGATGTAAAGACAGAAGAACAGCCTCAAGTCCAAGAGGGTTTATTTACCATCTGTGCTCAAACAGTCTGGGATTCTGTCTGGGAGTCCAGTGAGAAAAAACCCACCTGGTCAACACAGGAGAGCAATAAAACTAGAATAATAAAAGATAAAATACAAAAAAATCCAATAAATAAACCTGAATGCTGCACAAGGAACTACTAGTGTTTTATAGGATGAAATGATTATTAATAGTAAATGTGATGATAAGATGTACTAGACAAACAGTGGCCTTATATTTACATGATATAATCATACTGCAGGTTTACTTACTTTACTACAAAGCACCAGAAAGCTCAGCTACTGCTCAAGATGTTCTCTGTAAATAATTAACTGACTTAAATATCAGAGTTTTGCTGCCATTTGCATCTACAGTCCAGGCACATGGAGATTCTCTGTGTGTTCAGTTTAGTTTTATTTATATAACTCACAGCACAGGTCATGTGAAGGTGCAGACGTCACAGGGAACCGAAAGGAAAAAACATCATCAAACCTCCAACAGAGCTGCTTTCAAAATGTGCAGAAATACTCAGTTACAGGTAAAAGTTTAGCATCACAGTCAGGAGTTTATCTGCTCGTTTTAGATCCAGAGAAAACACTGAAGTCGCTCTTCTGTCTGTTTGTCCAAAAACAAGAAGAACTCGTTTTCTAGAATCTAAAGCTGAGTTAAAGGGTCGTGTGTTGATTCGGTCCAACGTTCAACATCAGCGATCTAATCTGGTCTGGATGCTGTTTGTGTTGGACCGACCTTCGCCCTGATTCACTCTCAGAGAAACCAGATCTCACTCAGACGGTCTCCAGAGGACTCTGAGGAACAGGGCGGCGCTCCAAACGTTTCTGCTTTATTTTCACAATTATGTTTAAGGTTTCAAAGTTAGAAGTTTGTGTTTAAACCTCTGAGTTAATCCACTCAGACGGCTCCGTCCGATGGAATAAAACCAGAGGAGTCCGCTTTCTCTAATGTTTACACAGTTGGACTAAAACTTTTACAGTCTGTGGGGATTCCAGGATTATCTAGAAATCTATTACAGACTTTCACAAACGAATAAAAAGGGACCAAACATCTAAACCGGGGCTTCAAACATATTTTATTACTGCAGTTTTTAATCCAAATCTTGATGAAGTTGTGTGTTCACAAAGGTGTGATTTTATAAAGTTTCTGTGTCAGTCTCGTTCAGGTTGGACACGAACCTGAGTGCAGGGTTTGGTTTGAATAGAGATGAGAGGCTGTGATTGAGCAGCAGGACGACGGGACTCAAACTGACTTTAGGATGCTTCCAGGAGACAGTTGAGATGAAGTAAAAGTGGAGAATATATTCAGGCTTTGACAAATGCTTTAAATGATGCACAAATGTTTTCAAAAGTCTCATCCAGTCCAGATTTGACAGGTTCACGTGTAATGAGTTCATCTGATGTGGAGCTGATTGTGGGTTTTGGACATTTGATGGACTTTTTGGCTTTTTGTTTTTTTTGGAGAGAGACGTCTGGTAGCGAACTGACAGGAAACAAGAGGTAGAAGGAAGGTCCACGGTGCCTCATGGATGTAAAACTGGGTTTAAACCAGTCAAACATGGAAAGTCTGAGTGGATTTATAAAGGTGTGGATGGAAAAAAATCACAGTCAGAAGCTCTCTGTATTCATCAAGTCAAGGTTTTTCATTCGTGACCTCTTCCAATGTGGTGTGGGTAGAAAAAAAAACATTTACCTCAGTTATGACCTCCATAAACAACGACATACAGCTGAACACATGTATCAGACCTCCATCCAGTGTCAGGTTCACGCCACAGCTGCCCTAAATTAATAATCTCTTATGTGTCTGTAAAGGTTCATACACCAGCATGTAGCAGATCTTTACCCATAATGATGTTTTAATGCTAAAATATAGTTATTATTGTTATCCAGGAACTGTCAAATTTACTGTTCTACAAAAAAAAAGAGAGAAAACAGTAAAGCACATTGTTGTTTTTGGATTCAGATGTCAGATTCTAGTTATTTACCTGCATTCCTGAACAGAAACATTAGTTTTAGTGGCTGAAATTGAATTTAAATTCCTCATTGCTTTTCAAACATGGAGAGCTGAGTGTCGTTAAAGCGCTGCAGGCTGAACACGTCAGACAGCTGCTCTAGTAAACGTGTTGAACACTGTACATGTGGCATCAATAACAGAAACCTCGACCATCAGGAGACGCTTCAATTTCTCGTCTTCCCAACGTTTGTCTTCAGAAGCAGCTCGGCGACGTGAAGCAGAGCTCCCAGCTGAGGATCCAGCAGCGAGAGAAGGAGGCGCAGGAGCTGAGACAAGCCATCTTCTGTCTCGTGGTAAGTGCAGCGTTTCACCGCTACGAAGCCTCCTCTCACTCCACAGCTCAGGATCTGTCCTCACAGTGATGTTCTCCTGAAGCAGCAGCTTTCTGACTCTGTGTCTCCCTCCAGCGTTCAGCTCGGACAGCGGCTGAGGAGAGCGACCTCGTCTTCACTGAGCTCATCCGGCTGATAGAGCTGAAGCGCTTCGAGGTGAGAGAGCTGATCAAAGCCCAGGAGAAGACGGCCATCGGCGAGGCTGAGCAGCTGCTGGAGAAGATCCAGAAGGAGATCGCCGAGCTGAAGAAGAACGAGGCCGAACTGGACAAGCTGTCCCACACCGAGGACCCCGTGCATTTCCTCCAGGTCAGGCGGGTTTGTGGTTGTCCTCACCTCCCAGTCGCACAGGGTCCAACGTCTTGTTCTCTGTCTGTGTTCAGAGCTGCCAGTCTCTCCAAGCTCCCGCCGTGCTGTCGGCTTCCCCTCCGGTCAGCGCCGAGCCCGGCCTCACCTTCAGCCCGGTGGTGACGGCCGTGTCGGACTTCAAGGAGCTGCTGCAGGAGGTCTGTCAGGGAGGGTTCGTCAGCATTTATGAAAAAGGTACGTGGAAGGTTCTGGTTCTGGTTTCTATGTGACGTAAACCAGGAGGCCCTCTGTTCATCACTCTGCTTTCTGTGCAGTGAGAGACGTGGTGATCGTGAGTCCTCAGAGTCCAGCGGTGCAGCTTCAGGCTCAGTCTGGAGACGCCGGGTCGGCCGGACCACCGGCCGGACCGCCGGACCCACCGACGTGTCAGTTTGTTCCAGGTAGGTCACATGATTAAACTACTGCTGGGACATTTACAAAAAGTTATTAAAAAGTTATTAAAAAAAAAAAAAAAAAGATGAATCGCACCTTCCTCAGTTCCCTCATTTCTGGCCCACCTGTAACACTGATGCTCAGGCTCCAGCCACTAGAGGGCGCTAATGCACCTGGAGCTGGTTCACCAGCAGTGAAGAAGATGCACAAAAACATCTTTTTTGTTTTTTAAACTTCAGAAAGAGACAAAAAGTCTTAAAGTGTTGAATATAATCACTATAGTTACACTCTGAGACAGATGAAGAATGCAGATAAATACAGATGAACAATAAATATTTTTCTACATTTCTGTCACTGAAAATCTTTGCTTCATGAGTCAGATATTGTTATTTGATACAAAAATGCAATTAATTGATTACAAAGCCTCTAATTAGTTCAATTTTTTAAAAATCGCGTCCCACCATGAATATAAACACCGCTAGCTTCTGGTGTTAGCATATATAGCTTTAGTGATGTAATAGTTTACAGGTGAAAATCCCAAAGCCTGACTTTAAATATCCTGGTTTGACTGTAAAAGCATCTTAAACAACAACTAAAGGTTCATTTCACTGTGTTTTAAACTGACAGGGCTCCTTATTTTCAGAGGTTTTCTTCCCGAGCTGCAGGATTTCTGTTGGTTATTTAACGCTTGTTGTCATGAATCATTCATCTCTCGTTATGTTTAAATTAACAAATAACTAATTATCTGTGAACTGTATGTATGAAGTATAGAATGGTGAAAATGTCAGAGGGGACGTTCTAATATACTAATATAATATAATATACTAAAACAAAGATAATCCAGAAGGTTAATGTAATTAAATGATAACTGGCTGAAACAATCTGTCGCCATGACAACAGCTGCAGGTTAACGTCAGCTGACTGACTGACGGATGGATTAATTAACTCATTATGGCAGCTCTTCGTTACAGCGTTATGTCAGTGTGTTTAAATGTAAAACACACGTCATGGTGATAAATGCGGCAGAAAAACAGAAACAAAACAGCTCAATAAAACGTGACCGAGCTGATTCACGCAGCTCCTCAGATCTCAGTTCATAAGTCGAGTTTTTATTGCTGCAAACTTAGAAGCTCCTGTTTTAATTAAGTTTAAGCATCGGTGTAATGAAACCGCACACGAGCAGCCCTGATGTTTGTTTCAGGTTTTAAACAGTAGGAATGACTTTCCTGACTAGCGTTTTACACAAAGAATCCAGACAGCAAAGACAAATAAATCTACAAATAAAGCATAAATAAAAACATGTTTCCTTAAACTTTAAAGCATTTTGAGAGAAGATTTAAAAGAAGATAGCAGATAATAGCAGATGATCCTGATCAGTCTGCAGATCTCAGTGAAATGTAGAAATCTGTTCAGGAACAAGGAAATCTAAGGTCCTAAAGGTCTTTGCATGGCTGTTTTTTTCTTTAATGGAGCACAGACGGTCATTTTAGTTGTTTTTCTGTGTTAAATAAAGACATTTTAAGTCATTGTTGTTGTAGACAAGCTGGAAGAGGTTCTGTGGTGATGCTTTACCTGTTTTATCCAGTGGGAAAGTAAAGCGGGTGTTAAATTAATAAAACATTGTGATGTAATGCAGATGTTCCTTTGGTAGCAGCAGTTTAACTGGTTCCTGTGATCTCTGGTCTTATTCTTTGTGCATTTTATTCCACTTCCTCATGTGGTTTGTGTCCTTCTTGTCTGATAACGAGACCTTCTCTCTCGCCACGTGCAGCAGAAGCACTGCAGTAACTCTTCTTGTTCTCTCGGTAGTCAGCCCTCCACTGGGTCTGGACCAGAACCCTGTGAGCCCCCTCAACCCGTTCCTCACGCCAGGACCTGCTGTGCCCACGTTTGCCTTCTCGCCGTTCGGTAAGTGGAGCCGTCGTTTCAGGACGTTTAGCATAAACAGGACCTTTAGTTTTAGCAAAATTATACCACAAGTGTTCTCGTTGTAACGAAGAGAAAACGTATTTTCTGCAGCAGTGGGAGAAGAACGGAGATGTTCTGCCTTAAACAAAAGCAGGAAGGTGTTATCCTAAACATCACCGGGCTGCAGCTGTTTCCTTTCCTGTGTAATCCTTTTAAATGTTGATGTTTCTCTGACTGAACCAGCTCAATAAGCTGCTACTGTCCTGCACTGCAGCACTGGACATGGTTGGGTTTTATATTTAATTTATTTATACAGTATTTTTGATCCTTTTTTAAAATCTACGGCACTAATACAAAGTACATCCTGGACAAATAGAGAAACTAGCATTAAAAATATTCTCCTCTATGTTACGATTAGATTGAAATTAGATTTTTTTTTGTGTAAAAGGACGAAGCTTCGATAGATTTAATTTGATGCCAACATGTTGGGAAACGTTACAATCAAGTGATTTAAATGTCTCGTGTTCAGAGTTTACTCGTTGTTTTGGCTGATTTTTGACAGTTTCTACGCTTTCAGGCCGTTCAGTCGCACTAAAATAAGCCTCATGTTGTTAAATGTTGACATGAAGACAACATTGAAGCAGCTTGTATTAAACCAATATCGATCCGTCTACACTTACAGGAACCTTCTGGGGCCCTAACGCTCTGTTTTGGCCATTTTCAAGGGCCAATAACTAAAAATCTGGCCTCTGCTGTAACCATTCGATCATCTTTATCTGCAGGAAACACTGTAAATGGCTCCTCGGGTTTACTGAGGGTGAAACTACAAACGTTCCCAGATGTGAAAACTTATAAAAAATGTTAGAAATCAGCCAAAACATTTTGCAGAACTTAGTTTTGAGTCCCAAATAACAGACAAGTGACCAGAATGTGGGACAGTGCAGCAGCATCTCTGGCGACACGGATCGACCCAGATGTGAGGCGTCCTTGAACACGTCCGCCTCGTCCTCGTGTTTCTGGACACTAATAACTCCTCTTTGTGTTCGCTCAGGCTCCAAGCTCTCCTCAGGATCCAGACAGAGGCACCTCCAGCGACGCGCTCACCCCAGGAGGAAGTAGGCCTCCGGCGGACGTCTAACTCCACACTTCATCCCGGCTGAATGAGCGGCGTGTGCTCACCAATCCACGCCGTCGCTCAGGAGCCGGACCTTCAGAATCATCCATCTGCTACGACTTGAACCTGGTGTTCCAGAAAACGCTAGCAAAGTGAAGACCACACTGACGACGCATTTACTTTAAGTATTAGGCAGCAACAAGCAGGACTCACTCAGTTCTGTGGTATCAGCCTGTCAAGGTTTAGTTTGAGTTTTTATGGACGTTTGCTTTTTTAAGTATTTTTCATTTTTAACCAAAACTCAGTCAACAATCATTTTGCTTTGAACACCAACTGTAATCTGTGAAACGCTGACATTAAAGAGCAGAAAGACTTTCTCACGGCTGCTGCTCGTTCTCACGTTTCAGGTGCATTCTTCAGTGCAAAAGGCTGACGTCATGCACCAAGCTGGTGGTTCCCAACATGGGGGGCAGGACCCTCATGGGGGTCCCAAGATAACTGTAAAAAATAAATATAAAAAAGCCTACATTTATCAAATAAATGTGTATCAGAGCTGTCAAAATTAAAAGTGTATACTTCTTCCCTCTCATTGTTTTTCTTTTTTGCTCTTTTTAAAATTATTTTCTTTACTTTTTTTTTTTTTTCCTCTTTCATTTGTTTGAAATAAATTCCATTCATTCATTCATTCATTCAAAAGAAAATTAATGTAAAGAGATGAATCTGTGGAATTAAAACATGAATTTAACACATTAATGCACAAACAACAGCAGTTATTACTCATGATTAATATTAATGATTCAAACTGGGCTCATGAAAACGAACTTCTGTTGTCTTGGGCCTCAAAAAGTTTGAGAACCACTGGACTCAACTGTTCAGGGCTTCTGTGTAAAAATGTAATCTGATTACATTCAAAGGTCAGAACATGAAGCGACCTGCTGTTCACTCAGTGGGAGGAGCTCTCTGCTCAGCCTGTGATTGGACGCTCCAGAGTGACACCTGAGAAGCTGCTCACCTGTGTGACGTCCCTCTCTGTGGCTCATACTCTGAGCTCTGAGCAGGAAATGGCAGCCGCGACCATCTCTGTGGAGCAGGACCAGTTCTGCTGCCCGGTGTGCCTGGAGGTTCTGCGGGACCCGGTGACCATCCCCTGCGGACACAGCTACTGCCTGCAGTGCATCGAGGACTACTGGAACCGGCCCAAGCAGAAGGGCCAGTACACCTGCCCTCAGTGCCGGCAGGTGTTCAACCCCAGACCCCTGCTGAGCAGGAACACGGTTCTGGGCGAAGTGGTGGAGAAGTTCCAGCGCAGCGGAGCTCAGGCTGCGGCCGGAGCGGAGGAGGGCAGGTGCAGCGTGTGCACCGGCAGGAGGAGCAGAGCCGTCAAGTCCTGCCTGGTCTGCTCCGAGTCCTACTGCTCGGCCCACCTCAGGACCCACGAAGAGCGCTTCCACGCGAAGGCCCACAAGCTGATCCCGGCCTCGGAGCATCTGTGTCCGCTGCACGACAAGCTGCTGCGGCTGTACTGCCACAGCGACCAGCAGAGCGTCTGCTCCCAGTGCGTGAGAGAGAAGCACCGGGGCCACGACACCGGGTCGGCGCTGGACGGGAGGGCGGCCCAGCAGGTGGTCTGATCGGTCCTCTGGTCTCAGATGTGTTTATGAGTGGAGTGATGGCAGCTTGATGCTTTCTAGGGATCCCTGGAGAGCTCATGTGCAGTTTGACTCCAGCAGTCAGTGATTTACTGGAACAAGTGTTTGATCGGAAAGAGGAACCAGAACCGAGTCAGTGAGTGAAGCTGGACCCTCCCCAGCTCTGTAGTGCGTGTGTGATGGTTCCCAGTTGGTCCTGTAGACTCCAGGAACTTCATCTGTCATGCCAGCTCACAGGCACATGTTTGAGTTACCAAACTACAGGTTATTTGAAAAAAAAGCCTAAAAAATAATAATAAGTTCAGTAAAACAAGAGCAAATCTCAGTAAGAACACAGCAATAGAAGTGTAGTAAGAGAAAATAAATATATATAAACGTTAGAGCAGAAATTCAGCAGCAGTTGTGTTCAGCACTGAACGTTTGTGCAGCAGCAGGTTGATGTAATGCAGCACACTGTTGGTTACAATATGTGTATAAAGTGTTTAATAGTCAGTCTGTGGTGGACGTTTATTATCATGTGTGCAGCGTAATAACAGCAGTTTAACACGTTTGTACGCTCCCATATACACAATAAAGAATATCAATATATGAAGAAAAGAACCAAAACATATAGAAATAGATTAAAAAACAAAGAGACAGAAACTAAGGTGCATCTTGTCTATTTACATGTAGCAGCAGATATACGTTCACAGTGCACACAACACTGGATCTGGGTTTGATTTTTTTATTTGTACTATAAAGGAACAGACATTTTGGGAAAACACTTGTTAGGTTTCTGTTACACGAGAACATCGTCATCACGCTCCAGTCTGTGGATAACAACACGCCAGTAAAGCTGCAGTCAGTTAGCTTAGCTTAGCACAAAGCGTCCTGAGTGACCTGTGAACACAAACACAGACAAAAAGCGAACCAGGCTCACCTGAGAACAGACCTGCAGCGTCTGCCGGTTGCCAGGCAACTCCTCTTGTCGTTTCCAGCCTTTGTGCAAACCAGCTGCTGACTCCAGTGTTTAAATATCTCATGTACCAGTGCTGACAAATTGTATGAAAACAAAGACACACAAACAAATGAAGCTTATTAGCATCCTCTGTTTGTGCTTCAGGTGTTCAGACAACTACCAAAGACTTCAGAAAACTTCCAAACGCGATGATTCTCAGGCAGGTCTGGAGTCTTATGGAGCATCTGCTTTAAATTTCTAGAACTTTAGTCACAGTGGACATCAGAGATAATGACGTCCACGGGTAGTGTGAGCTGTGCTGTATGGAAACACATCTGTCTGATGTCTGAGTTCAGGTCTTCCTGAGTTCTGCCTCCCTTAAAGGAGTGTCGATGCAAACTGTGACAGGCAAAGCTGGAGCATGCAAAGTGTTCTGGGAGATTCATGGTGCTTCGGGAAAGTCCTGTCACATCACGGCAGCAGTTAACAAACCAACAAGAGATAGTGAACAGGAAAAATAAATCACTTCTCTGTGGCGACCACGAGCCTGTAGAAGAGTCGCTGCATGTTTCACCGACTCACAGGAATCCTGCACAAAGCGACAGACAAAGAACAGCCACGAATGTCAGATTTGATCTAAACCTGCAGCATCGTGCACTGCTACACAAAGCAGGCAGAGAAAGACAGGAGGTCAAACCCGAGTCGTGTTGGGAGTCCGAGGGCCTGAAGAGTGCCGTCATGGCTGCTGTTCTTCTGTTGAGAAGATAATCATCTGTCACTGTTGTGGCTACAGACTTTATTAAGATCCCTGTTAGCTGCAGCTCAGCCACAGATGTTCCTCCTGGAGTCCAACATAGAAGAAAACAGAAAACATTATCAAAACAAAACAAAAGCCAAGTGAGCTTTACACGCATAGTGAGATTATTACTGATCAGTTCACATTTAATCACGTGACTGTTTCAGTTTCTGGTGCCTCATATTTCTGCCCAGATGTTTCTACACATCCTCTGCTGCTGTGAGACTTCTGCAGCTTCAACTGACGCTTTGTATAATTCAGTTTCCAACCGTCTGAATGTGATCAGTCTCTGGAGAAGCTTCATTAAACATCAGGGTGAGCCGTCCTGTCTGAGGGCTCTGACCTGTGACTGGACACATAATGGACCCTGGGTTTGTCTGCTGGATGTCATTTAGAGCTGCTGTGACGGCTTCAGAGGGTAAAATATTGAACACAGGGAGGGTAAGTGTGCCTTGGTCCTGCAGCGTTATCTGCTTCTCAGATGTTTCTGCGGCTCACAGACCAAAGGCCTCCCAGAGTAACGCAGCCCTTTGATTGTAGAATCAAAACTTTCCTTCCTGAAAGGCGAGCGTGGAAGAAGAAGCGCTGAGCGCCGTGAGGGACCGCTCCATGTGATACTCATCTCTTGTATTCTCTCAGAAAAAACTCCAAGAAGCCTCTTTGAAGTCTGCGCAGAGACTGAAGGACGCGGAGAAGGAGCTGAGATACGTCATCAGATACATCAAGGTGAGTGCGTTTCCTCTGTAGGCGCTGCTAATGCGTTGTTGACACTCAGCGTGGAGTCCAGAACCACGACTCCTGGAGACCAAACTGTGGAAGCTTTCTCCTCCACAGCACTCCACCGAGGCGGCAGTGGAGGAGAGCGAGAGGATCTTCTCCAGGCTGATCCGGTCCATCGAGAAGCAGAGCAGCGAGGTGAAGGAGGTGATCAAAGTCCAGCAGAGGGCGGCTGTCAGTCAGGCTGAGGAGGTGCTGGAGAAGGTTCAGAGGGAGCTGGTGGAGCTCAGGAGGACCGAGGCTGAGCTGGAGAAGCTCTCCCACACCGATGACCACGTCCACTTCCTGCAGGTACGGAGCTAAACCCATCCAACTTAGAAATATTATTCTGTTAAAGGCTTTTTCACCGCTTGCTGCAGACAGTTTCCAGGCTGGAGGAGTCAGGACCAGGAGGCAGGATGTAGAACTGGTCTGACCTTTCAGGCTCTCCGCTGTCTCTGGGCCTGTATTTACTGAATGTTCAGGATTAAGGATGCACCTTAAAGTGGTGATTAATGAATCCCTGCTTGTTTATGGTGGTTCTACATCTGTACAACGTCAGCATTCCCTGATCACCTCCTGGTGTGAGAAATCCAGCTTCAGAGCTTTTAGAAAAGCCTCCCAGGTGGAGTTACTACGAACACTGTTTACACATGACAGAGTGCTGATGATGGTAAATCTGACCTTAATGTGGCTTCAGTCACAAGTACAGCTCCTAACAAACTCATTAGACCTCCACCCAGTGTCAGGTTCACGCCACAGCTGCCCTACATGAATCATCTCTTATGTCTCTGTAATGGTTCATACACCAGCATGTAGAAGATCTTTAACCTAAATGATGCTTTTAATGCTAAAGTATTATGATTGTTATCCATGATGTTTCTATAGTAAAGCTCATTATTAGGGTCCGAGCACCCAAAAG